GTTTGGCTTACAATAGATCGCGTCTCCGGCCAATAGACCGTTTCACGAGAGTTTTGAAGGGGAGACTTTTCAGGCAATATAGGCCTATAGAAACTTTGAATCATTGAAAACGTTGAAACATCATTTCACAGAGGCAAACAAGAAGCCTAGGTTATAGAACGATAATCACCTTCGATTTCTCACGCGGTACTGCGGATTATGGCAACACGATTCTTTTGTCCGTCAGATAGATAATCAGAAACAGACTTATCTGATTGACTTGTTATCTGTTGAATATAGCCTATTATAATGTTTTGGACAGAAATCGTGTGAAAAGTACTATAGTTCAAATGTAAATTATGCATTATTTGAAGGACAAATTTTGAAGTATGTGTACATTACAATGTTATTCTTTCTCGTCCTTACGTGTGTAGAACGAGAAAAAAAATGTAAACGTGTGGCGGGAAATCCCAAAACGGCTCGCATACGCACAATGCCAAACTCCAGCGAAGAAAAAGTCACAGACTGCAATACTTCCATTATGAGGAAGATTCCAGTTAGGGTTGGCCCCTAGTTCCTTCAGTTTAAATTCTCAAGTCCCTAAGCCAATGTTAAAGCCCTAAGTATAGCGGGTGGAAATTAACTAGAAAAAACTTGTTTTGGAAAATATTATTGCTCGTATGGATCCAGTGCATAATTTTTTCAAATGAAGGAAGAAACTTTATGGAGTAATTTTAAAGAATTGAATTATTATTATTATTATTATTATTATTATTATTGTTGTTGTTGTTGTTGTTAACTTTATTTCTTAGTTTTTAAACTAGGCAAAAGGAATCTGTCAATTTGGTTTCTTAGAACCAGATTCTGCTCTTATGAAAAGGGAATTCACTCTATCCCACTTGAGCTTACTGTAAAAACCTTCGAACAATGTGACAAGTCTGAAGTAAGACGGCCATTTGTTCAACAGTTTGCAATTTTACTGGTAGTACCAAATTTCTCAAATTATTTTTAAAAGTTTTCTAAACTCCTTCCGATGAGATCACCAAGGCATAAGTGAGAACTTTCTCCAACCGCCAGATCTGTTTCAGTTGCATTGCAAGCTCCTTATACTTCCCGATCTTCTCTAATTCAGTTTTTCTGATGTTATGAGTCAGAAGAACTACAATATCAATTGTAGAGTTTATTTTATTGATTTTATCAATGAAGATATCAGACCTATTGTCATCCACTGTTTTGCCCATGATAACAAATCGATCCCAGTACATCACATGCTTCTTTGTCTCCAATCCAGGGGCTGGACAATGTTTGTAATAAGGCGTAGAAGAGTCAAGCAACCCGTGTTTAACAGGAAGTTCTTGATGTATTAATTTTGCGGGCTGGTTGTGCCTTCCAAGATAGGCGTTGTCTGATAATGCCAAACAGCCCGCCATAATATGGTCAATTCTTCATTATTATTATTATTATTATTATTATTATTATTATTATTATTATTATTATTATTATTATTATTTTTCGCTGAGAGGGCATGGGCCTAGTTTTCTTTTATCTTCCTTTATTTTGCAAAATTGATTTAAATATTTATGTTCGAAATATGTTATTATTTAACAAAAATATGATGCCCCCCTCCCCCAAAATGATCGTCTGGATCCGCCCGTGGAAGGAATGTATTGTGTAATGTTGCATTACGACCTGTCACAAAGCCGACAACACTTTCAACGAATACCATGACTTGACTAGTACGAAAATGGAAATGGATTCACCATTACTTTAGCCTGTTTGACCTTTACTACTGGTGACAATTCCGTAGTATATATTTAAGTAAGGAACTATTTTCTGTACGATTTTAATGGAAAAACACCTTCGGCACTAAGCACTGAGATCTCAGATCGAGACCTCGTGTAATTTTCTTTCTCCAGTCACAAGTTTGCATCTCGAAATATTTTTACTTTCTTGCACTTACTATTTCGTGTCTGTGACCATCATGCGATTTCCATGCATAAACTTACTGCTACTTTCTGAGAAGCTCTAGATGTGAAAGTCGTGACCTGATAACTGACTGGATGAATCCCTCCGGAGACTCCATGTCCGACTCATTTTAATCCACCTCGTCGATGGTCTTCTGTTTTTTTTTAACCACATCCAATTTACTTGCCTGTTTGGCATTGTTATTTGGTTGCGTGGGAGGTCTTCTTTTACTTAATGCTCATGAAAAAGAATCGTACATTTGTTCCTTTCAAAGTCTAAATGGTTCTTTTCAATCATTATGTAGCAACAGAATTCGTAGCAATATCGTTCTATAGTGACATTTTAAAGATTTTATTTTTGAAAAAAAATTATCAAAACCATTGAGGAGAAATCGGTATTTCATGTTCCGGAAGTTTCTCCATGCCCTAGTACAGTCCTCTGGCTTGCTATATTGGAGAACCCCTTCTGATACGGGATTGGGAACGTATTCCAATGTTCAACCAAACAAACGAATTTGCTTTAATCGTCCCCTGTATTAATTTAGTAACATACAATTTTGCTATCTTACAGTCCATCAATCTTTATAAATGATGTCTCTAAAGAAAGATAATTTCACGGAGAAGTGACAAATTGCATTTTGACTTTACGAATGTAAAGGATTCGTTTAAAAACGCAGCTCTCTACAGCAATGTCAAAATGTATATAGTTAAATAACACCATAAAGAAGCGTTTTAGAGCCTTAGAACGTGAAATTTTGAGGCTAAGAGCCTCAAAGAAACATTTATCATACCGTAATGTACAGGATAAGATGTTCTTGGACAGCTCCTCTCGATACTACCGCACCTGTTCAGAGCCGTAAAGAATCTTCAAATGTTTGTGGAGTTAAACTAATTACTTGATATTGTAGGCGATTAAATTGCATGGGTGAATCTCTCATAACATTCCAATGCTTGCCCGATCCTGGATTTTCGCATGAACATCTTTACGTAGGTTTCTCAAGAACAAAAGAGTAAAGCTTTTGTTCTGTTTTTGTAACTATCAAGGAAAGCGAAAAGCTAACTGCCATGGAAGATTGTATAATTACATCAAATACTTTTAAGGAAGTGCGAATTGTTCCGGAAACGTTTGTAATACCAGGGTACCAAACGTTTGTAATACCAATATTTTTGCTAGAAAGTTTTGTGATGAAAAAAATGTAGAGGAAATTTTTTTTTCATATCCCTCCCCGTAGATCCGCGCCTGATAATAATGAATAAAAATAAACCTTTATCGAAACTGTGTTTCAAACATCAATGTCATTGTTCTTTACTTTTATTTTAAATTCTACTAGTACATTAGAAGTTAAATTTTGAAGTTTTTAAACAAATAAACATGTATTGTTTGCAACTTCCCCTCTTAATACTGAAAAGAAAAGTTAGGGAAGAGGATGTAATTTAATATGCGAGTTCTCGCATGGGTACGCTAATAAAGGTGAATTTTTGGGCAATATTTTCACTATGAGGTGCGCAATTTCCTTAATCATTATTAGTTCCTCATTGTGAGATTTTACCTTTATAAAGCTTTCTGAAACTTACTTTATTTAAATGTGTAGGATACGTTGATAAACATGATTTTAAATGGAACCGATAGTTAATAGTAGTACGACCCAAAAAAGCAAACATTTCAATTTTATTTCGTTTTTCATCAAATTATGCCAAAGAACAGTGCTGAAAGAAACGCTTGATTAAAACTGTTGCAAACCGAACATTCTTGATTATCAACATATTTAAACTACTGGTGCTACAGAATGGCACAGACTTTCCCGTATTAGGTTTTTAAATTCTTTGTGCCGGGTAGCTATTCGGACTTACCTCAAACTCTTGCCAGTTGCTATCTAACGCCGCCCAAAGTACATTTCTTTTTGGTTTGAAATTTTCTCAAATTTTCTGTTTCCTAATAGTAGAACGGAACTATTATTTTAAGAATATTAGAGAAGAGTAAAAACTCGTCATAAATGGCAATTTTCTTTCAAAAATTTGGATATTTTTATGAAAATGGCGTTTAAGTACTACTGTAAATCCGAAATTTGAAGCTCTTTTTCACAGAAAAGGTTTCAGTTTTCAAAAAACTTTATTAGAAGTCATTTAACACACATTAACTCACAAATACAATAGTGTTTACAAATTGGTGGAAATTTACATATTAAGGGCATGAGAAATCTTCCAAAAAAATTACATTTGTATAATTTTAGAAAATATAAAAAATTCCGCAAAATGAACTTTTAGATATTAAACAGTGCAATTAGTACTATCCCTTCGAAATGCTTGAATGCAAAATTTGGAGACGTTTTTGAGAAAATGGCGTTGAGCGTTACTGAAAATGCGAAAATTTTGAGCTGGTTTTCGCAGAACATGGTTGAGTTTCCGAGAAACTTTATCTGACATTATTTAAAGCACATGTACTTATATATAATGTGAACATATCGCTGCCAATATTAACAACGTAAGAGACGTCAAAAATACATTTTTTGTAATTTTGGGGAAAAAACGAAAGAGAAGAGCAATATGTCTGTCATCTCATAGAGTACATTTAGCATTATCTCAAAGCTTCGACTCGAGCCAGGTGAACAGGGGTTTCTTCAATTTAGAAAAAAAGATCCTACTCATGGTTTAGGCGCTAGTAGTGTTCACAGACCGACGATTTTTCGGTATCAAGGACCCACTAAACGGGGATTCTAGCAACACCACGTGTTAGAGGATTTCCCCCGTCCCTTAATTTAGCAACTAGATTCCACTTTTTCGTTATCAGGGCCCGGCAATGATTTTTTCTGCCGAAAATCCGCAGGCTTAACACAAATTTTCTTGTACTACATATTATACTCCCTACATACGTATAAACGGACCCCGGGAAAGTAAAAGTTCTTCGCAGTTTGGTTTCATTCCAAACCTTATTGAATCATCATTGCAGTTCCATTATCCCGAAGTTACTATGGCAACATCACGTGTTATTCCCGAGTACGCACGGCTGGAACGAACTTAAAGGGAACCAGTGCATTTAAGAGATTAAGTGATTGAAAGATGAGTTCCATAGAGGCTCTTGACGCTCTCGACATCGACAAGTTTCCTCGTATGACGAAACAGGCCATTCGTCTAATTTGCAAAAAACTGAAATTGTACCAGACACCGTACCTCAATGATGTGTTATACCTTCATTACAAAGGATATCCCAGAATTGAAAATTTGGATGAATACACGGGTCTTAAATGTTTATGGCTCGAGTGTAATGGAATTGAAAAAATTGAAAATTTAGAAAACCAGACCGAATTAAGAAGTTTATATTTGCATCATAATTTAATAAGACGCATAGAAAATTTGGAGTTGCTACAGAAATTGGATACATTGAACCTGAGTCATAATTTTGTAAAAACTATAGAACATATTGAAATCTTGCCTGTGCTTCATACTTTAGATATAAGCCATAACAAATTGGCATCTTTAGAGGACATTGAGCATTTAGCAAGATGTAGAAATCTTGCAGTTTTGGACATGTCCCATAATCATTTAGAAGATCCCATGATTGTGTATGTTTTAGGTGAAATGGATAATCTAAGAGTTTTAACATTAACAGGGAATCCAATTCTAAAGAAAGTGTCACCATACCGTAAACTAATGATTGTTCTTTGTAAAAACTTGCAACATTTGGATATAATGCCAGTTTTCCCAAAAGACAGAGCATGTGCAGAAGCATGGCATGAAGGAGGAATAGATGCAGAAATGAAAATGAGGCAAAAATGGAATGAAGAGGATGACAAAAGAATTAGAGACAGCGTACACCGTCTTATTAAACTGCGAGATGCACATAGGAAAGAAAAGGAAAGGAAAATTGAAAACCATGAAGCATGCATTGAAAGTCTGGGTCTAGGAAACTTATTTGATGAAAATAAACCCAATTTTACTGATGACAGTTCAGTTGATATATCCATAAAAGAGCAAGATCGTGAAGATATTGTTGAAATAAAATGTAAGAAAAGGTTACCAACGGAAGATGTTTCAGATGGAAGCAGCAGTGAAAGTGAAGATTCTCAAGAGTTTTGGAAGGAAATAACCAGTACATTAGGACCAGAAGATCTTGCCCCTTCTAGAAAATCAATTGAGGAAATCCCACCAGTACCTATAGAAGAAATTTTCCCTGACAGATTTTCAGAATCAGTGATTTTTAAAAAGAAAGAAGAAAATGTTGCTTTAAAGTCAAATGAAACTTCTAGAACATTGATAGAGGAAGTAGAATATAATGCTTTACCTAGTACAGATGAACAATCCCTTCTGGGAATGGAAGACAAAGAAATACCAGCAGAATTTGAAAAAATAGATCTATGCAATTTAGATAGAAAAGATGAAACAAGTGTTTCAAGAGAACTAACTGGTGAAATGAATAAAGATATCTGTAGAGATGATGATACAGTGTTTCTAAACAATACTGATAATAGGGACAGCCTGAAAATTGTAAATCAAAATGAAGAGGAAAGAAAGATGACTGCAGATTGTATTAATCTCAAAGAACACATTCCTGAACAGTTGGAAGAGGTGCCTTCCACAATAGTTGAAGAGACAATTATAGAACATGCAATTGAGGAAGATATCCAGAAGAAATCTAAAAAAGTTAGTGAAGTACATTCTGATCCTGATAGTAGTTACACACAATCACAATTACTGGATACATTTCAGAAAACTAAAAGTATTTGTGAAATGACTTCTTCTCAAGATGGGAATAATGAATCAGCAACATTCAATGTCATCAGTTGTGAGAAACATTCAGAAGCTGAAATTTCATTTGAACAGACAAATGCGAATCAATGTGAGGAAAAAAATATCCTTGACATCAACAATCCTTTTCAGAATTCCCATGATATTGAGTGTGTTCCAACTGCACTCTTACATTTGCCACAAATGCAAGAATCTATTATTAATAATATTCAGAATAACTGTAATAATACAAATAATGAAACTGATTGTAATGTGACAGATCATAATCTGTGTTCTGAAATAAAAAATACAACTCAAATAGAAGAAAATTTGGAAGATCATGTCTCAGAAAATCAAACACCACTGCAAAAGAGCTTAATACTCCAAAATGCTCTCCAAGGAATAGCAGATTAATTATCAAAACTACAGGTAAAAACAATCAAGAAATTTTAGAGTTAGTGTAGTAGTGTGCTTAGTAATACAATTTGCAAAGTTACAATTAGAGGTTACAGTTACATTGCTAAATTAGTATTTTTGTTTTCTTTTGTGTTGACAGTTGTAATCCCAGCTTCTCACAATCACAAAGAGCAAGAGGAATTATCATATACATAAATTCCGTGAATTGTTAGGTTGTGCATTTATTCTCATGTAGACTGAACATTTATTTTAAAATGTAGTGTGATAGTCAGGTCTTGAAACACTTTAAGAAAACTACATCTTTAATAGATGAGGTAATGTTTGATTTTTTTAAAATTGTACTCATTAGGGATAGTATTGATATTTAATCAAAGCGAGCCAACTCAAAAGAAAGTTTTTTCCTTCTATATTTCCATTTATAATTTTTATGATTCCTTGTATCCACTCTTTTAAATTGAAATACACAAATTGGATGGGTATATGTAAACCTTATTTCATTGCAATGTACATTTGCTAGTTTAACATTGTATTTTATTTATTACTTAAGATAATTTATTTCACCAGGTTTTCAGCTTATTGTGTATGGTAAATAACAAATTTGAATACTTACCCAAGTGGCAATGTGTATTCTTGGCACAATTTTAAGAGGATTACTTACTATTAAGATTAGAGAAAGATTAAGATAAGTGCATTTTACTGCTGTTATACTGGGGCTATTATTGAAATGCATAAGAAAATTGTTAGTACAGACTAGCAGCAAATGGCATTTGTGAAACTACTACATGATGTTATCAAATACCTGAAATTAAGAAGAAGAAAAATAGCTTAAAACTATTGATAGTATAAGATCCCTTGTTTGTTTTTTAACTATCATATTGTAAAGAAATTATGTAAATGTAACAAGTATTACAAATCTATCATTAATTAATTAGTTTTTTATTTTAATGTCTGAAAACTCATATAATAGAATAATATGGACCTCAATAATTATTTATTATAGAGAAACTTTATTTTGAATGAACCCAATTCTTCAGAATGCATATTATATTAGCATAAACACTGTTGGATCAGAATTTTTTCAATAATTATTATACGTAGTAATAACAAATAATTTAATACGTGTAATATAATGTTTTTGTGAAAATACTGCAAATGATCACCTTTAACGATCTATTTATGAAAGATTTTGTAAGTATAAAAAGAACTTATACATTTTTACTTTCCTGTATACATGTGTATATGCAGAGTAATATACATAGTATAGGGAAAGTTATGTAATGCTGCAGAAAATCAATTTCGAGATTTCAACAGAAATACACATTTTCATCATTCTGATACCCAAAAAGGGTTGTGTTTTTCAAAACTTCCATCCATCTGGTGTTTGTGAACATCACTAGCGCCTAAACCTTGAGTAAGATAATTTTCAAATTGAAGAAACCGCTGCCCATTTGGCCTGAGTCGCACCTCTGCAATTTTGAAAATCATTCATTAGTTTTTTGGGGTACTTTACATGAAATCTCTGCAACATTTTCAAAATATTTGCCAAAATGGCTCCAAATGTCTTAAACTTTCTTCTAAGAATATAGTAAAATACACTTATAAAGGTGGCATAGATCGGATTTTCACGGATAACTCTGAATTGTTTTTGCAGTATTTTTCTACAACTACAAAATTAAAGATTTTACCTTTAAAAAGAAAATTTGTTGTCCATAATTTGTTGTTTCATTATGGTCATGTACATTTTTTGGGGAAAATTTAGAAGTATTCGTGCAATATTGCCTGCAATTTTAAAAAATTACAAAGACAAGATTTTCTCAAAACTGACTTCAAATTTTTTCTTCGAACTTTTCCAAACAGTGCTAATTGTACTGTTTAATATGACAAGTTCATTTTGCTGAATTCTTTTGTTTTTTCAAAAATTATACAAATTTTTTTAAAATATCTCTCATGCCTTTATTATGAACATTTCCAGCAATTTGTGGTTAGAAGTGCTTGAAATTACTTCATATGAAATTTTTCGAAAACTTAATAGTTTTCTGTGAAAAAAAGATTCAAATTTCACATTTACAGTAATGCTTAAACACCATTTTCTTAAAAACGGTTTCAAATTTTTCAATGAAATGTTTCACAGAGAAAAAAAAAAATTACTTTGAACAGTGATAGATGGCAGCAAGCAGAGACCAAAGGAAATAGAAAACTAACACAGAAAAGTCTCTGCCATTCTGCAGCACCATTAGTTGATTAAGAGGGCTCAAAATGATAGGATGTATATACAAAATCATAACATCCATTGGGTATTTATAAACTTCATGTCCCTACCCAACCATTAACACAATTTGTAATTGAAGACCTGCACAACTCCACCAATCACATTCACATCTGTAAATGGCTATTGTGATATTGATAAGTAGTTACAAACTTTGGGGTAGAATCTTTTGAATAATTTATCAGAAAATCGAAAACATTCAAATAAATTTTAAATGGACTAAGATAAATTGTAAGATAAAGACAAAATTTAATTTTCATATGGCTCTAAGTAAAATTAATTTTATGAAATTTAAATTCGTTATATCAAGTTTTATTATTTTTATTATCTCCATAAAATGCACAGTTCATTGGAGATTCCTACCAGGGTAGAATCCAATTTTGTGATTTAAAGTATCTGTAAAAGTAACAACAAATGGAAAAACATATCCATACAAAATGTCAAGATGAGCATGATTACTTGATGTCTAATACTAGAATTCTCTCTTAAATATAATAAATAGGAAAATGTTTGTACTACAAATGCAATACTAGTAAACAAAATTAGTTATTTAGCTGACCCCCATGCAATTGCATTACAAAAGGAAGAGCTATTGAAAAGTTATAACAAAACACACAGTACTACGAAAATAAAAATCCCAAAAATATATGGTTCCATCTCTTTCAATATTTAATCTCCAAGACTAAAGAAATGAAACAGGTTAACAAATTCTAGAACAATACCATCACTTTCCATTGTAAAGGCAAAGTTAACCGTGTTTCTAAGAATGTTTTATATTTGTCAAGATCTATGTATTTATGATATTTCTGTTATGGTGGACTATAACAGGAAATCCATCTCACTATCCTAACTTACAAATATAATAAATCACATATAATTATAAGACCTGACATTTTCTTTGAAAGGGGGCTGTGTCAGAAGATAGCTGGATACTGCTTTTTCTTAACACTTTCTCTAATCTTTGCATTTAAAAAAACCCAATCTTCAACCTTAAAGAGGTTTTTATCAATTATGCTTTGTTGTGCTAGAAGACTAAACCATGACTGCTTCTATAGATAGATAGCAATTCACAAAAGAACATGACCAAGACCAAATACACAGGATGTAATTGGTCTTGAAATGATGGCAGATAAGCATTAATTTCAATGAGTAATTAAAATGTAGTATATATGCTATGAAACCTGACCTGTGTAAGAGCAAGAGATAACACAGTAGGGCCCACTACCTTTTATTTAAGGGGAGTCGTAAAACTCTATCTGTCCCATGTTAATTTTGTTGTACATTTGACCCATGGTCTCTGACACTCAACTTCTTGCCACATATTTTTAGGAGCAATTTGATGGAAATGTTTTAAATAAATGCAAGCAGATTTACTTCTTCAGTTAGTAAGATAAATAGTTTTTGTAAAAGAACATATTTACAATGATGAAAATATAATTTTATTTAAAAAATGCTAAAATTCCAAAAATGTCATTCAGAATTTTGCTTTGACTCTCCTCAAAGAAGAAAAAAAAATTGTGTTGAGAAGAAAGCTCAAACTACTTTCCCAACAAAAACCCTTAAGAGTTTAATGTATAGATTTTGTACAGTATTGGAACATTCTAAATGTCTTTAAGATTGAGAGTTAATCCAGGCTCCTGAAATGTTAAACAGCAAAATTAACGATGTGATTGTAAAATTTCTTACATTTAATTGATTAAAAGAGTAAGGGGTTTTACATAACAAGACAATTCTGTTCACGTCAAGATGGTAATTTGTATTGTTGAAGTGCTAACCATGACTCGCATTAAGCTCTGAAAATATATATTAATATAGTACTTTCGTTGAATGTAACCAATCTCGTGATATCTCAAAAGTTATTTAATTAGGTGGTTGTGACATGCCCAATGTGTTCTCTGTGCCTTGTTGCTTTCCTGGGTCTACACTTACATTAATAAAAGCAATGTTATTGTTATCAAAATAAATGCAACAAGCAACATTTATCCAGAAACAAACTTCATATCTATTTTGCTTACCAACAAATTCTCTTACTTAAAAATTAGGATGTTATCATTGAGTAAATTATGAAATGAAAAATCAAATTAAATATATATACAAATAAGAATGCAGTTAGAAGCAAAATACATTTATTACGAGCCAACGAGTGTATGGAACAAGGGTTTCCAGGTTGACCATTCAATGCAGAATTGTGTGACTATCATCAAACACTCTCTCCAAAGCACACTGGAAATTCAGTTTGCAAATAAGGGCTCACATGTGAGTTATTTTGCTGAGCTTACAGTCATATCAGTCCTTGAGTGTAAATGCAGAATCTGCTCAGCAATGTCAGAAGAGCAAGTAAACTCATTTTTTAAGAGGTAAAAATGAAACAAATATTTTTAAAGAACAAGAAGTTGTGGGCTAAACAATATGTGCACAGCAACGTAATGTTCAGATAACTTTGATCAAAGTCGATGTATTTGTTCTTGAGATGCATCATTATTGCAAACATTACTTCACATGAGATCAGTAATTCAACAGTGAATACATAGAAATTACACACAAAATTATCTGTATACATTATTTCAAACAAAGCTATGGTCAAAATATCAATAACATTAAATTTTGGTTTTTAATTCAAATTAATGTACAGTTTATTTACAATCACTTCACACATCCCATACTATAATTGAAAATGGGTAGAACTTGCAACATACAGGATTTTCAATTTACTTCACACAAAAAAAAAAAAGAAGCTGATTTACCAGAAATATTGCATCTTCAAGTTCCACAGGAATTCTTAAAATTGCAGATGAACTGCCAATAAGTTTTGTCAAATGAAGATAACAAAATTGTGTCTATTGATACTGATTAGAATACTGTCAACAAACAAGTGACAACCATCACCCAAACACTTCACACTGTACCAGAGCTGCACGACTGTCCTGACATTGAGCTCGTAGATAACATGTGATCATTTGACTGAGACAGGAAACAACTCTGCTGTTTCAATTGATTCGTAATCTACCTTCGCCCAGAAGCCAAAGGCAAATTCTATCGACCAGGAAAGACAATGCAAAGTCAGCAAACAGGACTTGGACAAGGATGAAACGAAACTGAAAAATTAAAAATTTCAGATATAGAAACATTCTTATCTTATTAACTTACTCATTTCCAAACATGCTCACTTACTTCTGATGGAAAGTCGACAATTTCAAATTGGTTTGCTACATCTGGAACAATACCCATGGCAAGTGCAAGAATAGCACCAGCTGATCCAACAATACTGTATAAAAGAGCTTTATTCTCTGCTAGACTTTCCATATATGGGTGACCCTAAAGAGTAGCAAAAAAAAAGTATGAAATGTGAGCTTATTAATGAATTTTTGCAATTGGAAATTCTTGTCTACCTACCCGATAGTTGATGGCAAAAGTAGAGACTTGAAGTGCCATTGATATAATGTAAACAGTACTATTTAGCAAACTGGGAGTAAATTCTTCATCTTCTTCTCCTCCAATATCTACAGGTTTATTAGGCCTACAATTCAAATTAATTATCAAAGAATTATTCTTAATTTGTAATTGCAATAGTAACTGCATCATTCATTTTTTTCTTCTACATACCAACAACATTTATATAATTCTTTTTATACAACTTACTTTGTAGGTGATCGAAGGGTAGCTTGTTGTACTAAATATATTAGACATATAAAATGAACTATAAATTGCAGAAGAACTGTAAGAATAGTGTAGAGATTGAAAATGTTAGGTAATGGTCGCTGCCGAGAGAGTGTTCGTAATGGCTGTAAAAGATAAAAAGGTGGTTAATAACAAAAAGGAATGTGCTGGTTTAATGAAAAAAGTCTTTAAGAAATCTAACAAACCTTTGATCTAGATATAAACAAGAAGCATGCAGCTAGGAGGAGGCCCTGTAGCGTTGCTTGCATATCACTAAATTTTATTCCATCTAGATATAAAACCGATTGGCTGTAAGCCAGGATGAGAGCATTTAATGCTAAAATTTTAAACATCTGCAATGTTGTGACAAGAGTGCAACGACCCTGTTTAATCACATGACAAACTGCAACAATAAATATTGCATTAAAACAATTCTACCATTAAAAGAAACTGTAGCTTGAGTTTTAGCATACTTACTGCACATTATAGATGCTAATTTTGATGTAAAGGGTGCTGCTATACTAGCATCACCAAGTTTCACTATCTGAGCTTGTTCTTGTTCTTCTATTTCTTTCAATAACTTTTGTAAGTGGGAGTGTGTAGCAATTGCAGCACTCTTTAACAAGTAGTAACAAGGAATATTTTACTGGAGTTCAACCACAAATCTAAATGAGGCAACAAAAGGCCTAACTACTTATGCAGTAAAGAGAAAGTATTGTAATGGGGCACAAAAACAGGAAATTTTCAACAGGAAAACTATTGTCAGACCCTGGTAATAAAAAAGTGTATAAATCTTGCCCCTCTGTACAGTAAATTAATTCCTCTAACATGTTGTGTTTTCAGAATCCATGTTTTGTTGTCTTTGATACCGAAAACTACCAGTTTTCAAACAATTTTACTTTACCTTAAGATCTGATGTTTTGAACAAATTTTATTTGTGACAAAAATCTCTATCTTGAAATTTGTAACAAAATGAGATTTTCTGATAAAAAATTAACAGCATATTAATACTTTCTCTATATTGCATAAGCAGAATGTGAGAATGTTAAAAAAAACTGAAAAACAAACAACCTTGTACTCAGTGAAGAAAAAGGATTGCTAAAGATATTTCATTTAACATGAATTAATTATAGAGTTGTTTGAAAGTGTGAAGTAAGATTTAACAACAGTTGCTCCTCATTGACCTCTCATTGACTTCTTGTGTTTATGTAAATCCATGAACTTCTGGATAAAATGTATAAATATATGTACTAAAAAGTCAACATTCTTAGGCACTAACTGATATGAAACAAGTTAACTGAGAAAAAAATGGAATTCCATAATTATTTGGGTACTAGAAATTACTATTCTTAAAATTAATGTTTAATGAGGTTGAAGAAAAACAACATAAGCCTAGAGCAAATCTTCAAACGAATGCATAGTAGACCCTTCATTACCTGCCGACTGTGAGGAGTAGAATTTGTAGCAGCCCTTCGCTCGCGTTCCTTCTCCCGTTCACGCTCACGATCACGTTCGCGGTCACGTTCACGATCTTTCTTCTTATCAGGAAGTCGCTCGGGTGCATTTGAGAGAATTGCAACACCTGTCAAATATTTTCGTTATCATTGAATGCTAGTGGAAATAAATATGAGATACCATGCACATGAAGAATTGATGCAAAGTAAATGAAGTAGGGAGGAGATGTCCAAGAAAAAGCAATGGCATGCAATTCAAACCTCATTCTTTTATCTTTATTAGTAAAGTTGAATGTGAAAAAATATGCACAGTAAAATTGAATATTTTGTATAAATCATTAATACTATTAAAGATTAAAATTCATGACATTACTTCAGTTCCTGAAGGACAAGTTAAGAATGTATTTTCCATTTACAGTTACAAGTACTTCCTGCTTTTTTTCTTTCTCATTTTCCTAATATGAAGATTACCATATTGATTAGTATGTGAAATCACCATGTCCTGTCACCATGTATATGTTGTCCTGTTTTCACATTTATTAGAAATGTATATTTGCACTATTGAAATTTCAATGAACCGGGAATAACACAATATAAGAATTAAAAAATTTACACTTACCCACTTCTGCATGTTTGAGGGCACCAACATCATTAGTACCATCACCACACATAAGGGTCGTGTAACCTAATGATTTTAATGCTACTATTACAAATTCCTTTTGCTTAGGAGCTACTCTTGCAAATACTGATATATGTGGTAAAATATGATAAAGAAAACTGTGGTGATGTTCATTCAAATACGTCAAACCCTGAAATACACACGTAAACATGAATTAAAACTAGAATTAATATCTAATATTTTGTAGCATAAAAACTTACAATTTTATTTCATAGTGAATAATTTATTTTACAAGAAAATGTCTAATAATACAGTTTTGATTTTGATCAACATAGCAACGGCAATGGATATTTTTTTTTTACTTTGCATAATGCCTCTAAAATAAAGTTAAGGCCCCAAATTTATTACAACAAAATTGAGTCAATCCAAATTAAATTGAGGTTTCTTTCCACTCCATTATTGCAATTTACCATCATACATGCTATTGAGGAAGAAATAATGTCTTTAACAATAATTTAAAAATTTAAATACCTCTCCAGTAACACAGAGATCATATTTATGGACCAAGTCCTTATATGTTTCAGGTAATACAGGTAACTGCTGGGTTTGGTCAATGCTTTCCCACACCCATTCTTCATCAGTTTCTGTTAAAATCAAAGTGCTTGCCTTCTGGGTAAAACGCAGCTCTTTAGCTACATGACAAGCTGTTAATGGATTGTCCCCTGTTATCATTACCACCTGAAACAAGAGTTTGTTACAAATGCACGAAAATATTGCACACATTAAGGAGGTATTTTATAAAAGCTAACTTACAAGATGAGAAGCATTGAGAAGTTCTTTGATCACACTCTTTGAGTCATTTTTTAATGGGCAAGAAATGATTACAAATCCAGCAAAAGTTAAATTGCACTCCAATTCTTGGCGATTCAAATCACGAATTTGCTGAGGAGTAAGACGACCTATTTCTTTCCAGCCTAAAGCCAATACACGTGCACCTCGCCGAGACAATTCCAAATATACAGAATCATAATTGTGAGGTATATTTGAGAACTGGAAACATAAAATAACCATCAAACGTTTTACGATTTAATTATTTTTGTTTTAATAAAACATTGTAAAAAAAACTACATTTAAAGTATACCATAGATTTGAGAGTTTCTGGGGCTCCTTTAACAGTGGTAATGTATGTTGTGTCTGTACTACCAGGCAGTGTATATCCAGCTATTACAGACATTCGCTTTAAAGCTGACGAAAAGTGATGGCGATAAAAAATCTTCATTCCTGGAGCTTTCCCGCGCCTTGGGGGTATTACAGCATCACCTATTAAGAATTTTCTTTATTTGAGTATAACAAAGAATCAAGAAATCATAGAAAATTTCCATTTGAAATGAAGAAAAACAAAAGTGAAAAACAATTGATACATTAAAAATGAAATTACCATAAACACTAAAGAACTATGTAGTCAGTGAAATATAATTAACACAAATGATTATGAGGCAAGGATGAAAAATTGTAGTACAAGCTTTAGAAGGATTGACAATTTGATGAGAATCTTCCAAACTGCCCCATATTAAAAATGATGATTTGCCAGAAAGGCTACCCCCTAATACCTTTTGTGAGATTCCACTCAACAGCCATGAGAGTTGCTTTCTCAAGGGGATCTCCAACAAGACCATCATCTAACTGTGCTAGGGCATGGCAAGTGGCTAGCACTTGCACACTTTCTAGTGGAGCATCTGTTATTGGTACAACATTGGGCTTTCCTCTGTTATGGAAAAACACAATAATTATGACTTTTTATTGCTCTTATTATGACTGTTTAAATGTTAAGAAAATACCAAAATAATTACTTACGACAACCCAGCAATTCCCTCTACTACAAGATTATCACTAGTGAGAGTGCCAGTCTTGTCAAAGCAACAGATTTCAACTTTCCCAGCAAAGGGAATACGAAATGGCTCTGTGCAATATACCCCTGCAAAGAAAAATCAAAGTTAAATAAATATGTTCTTGCAGAAAGGTAATACAGTCGACTCTGGTTATAGTGAACTTCTGAGGACTAATATTTTTGGTTCACTACATCTGATGTCAAAATTAAATAGAATTTTTCCACAATGATTTTATTAATATAGAGATACAGCAAAATACATTAACAGCATGAACTGAAAACTTCAATATCTTTAATGAAAATAATTTATTTTTTAGTTTGCTTTATACATTTTTCATTAGTAATTTATCTAGATCCTTCTCCAGAGTTCGTGCTCTCTTTAAACTTTATTCTGCATTGTCTGCCGTCTCTAAGTCTCGTAATGCAGTCTTGACACTCTTCAATGCAACAACTGTTGGAAGTCCCACTCTTCAAAGTCCCTTTTACTTATCTAATAACATACGAGATCCTTTAGGTAGTGGGATGGTGCAAGAGGGCTATATAAAAACTGAGCTTTTCTGCGCAGTGCAGCGGGTATAGCCAGGCTGTGGCGATGCAGCAGTCACACACTTTGTCCCGCAGAATGTCATGTAACATCAAGCTTGAACAAGCATTCGTGTGTTGCTGCCGCCAGTTGTAGCCAACTGTAGTGTGAGTAGGGACGATGAGAAAATTCATTTCTTAGGAGAGATGTAGCCCACTCAGAACTCATCCTTCATTTCCGCAGAGAAACTGAGCGGTGGCCGATCATCAGTAAGGTTCCCAATTACGGGTTCGCAACCTTCACATTGAGGGGAGATTTCTTCCATTATGACCTTTAGGCAGTTTGAAACAAATATTGGCCAGTGTTGGAATTTGTAGAACTGAACTCTTATTATTTTCCAGGAAGGAATAATTCCCAGGTCATATTTCTTAGAATGGAGAGTAGGGTTCACTATAACCAAATCATCTTACGCTTATTTGTAATGTAAGCGAAATAGAAGCCCCGCATTAGCTCATTTGCCAGCATTCTCACTTTTCATGATGCTTCGATTCCCAGTCAAGCAAGATTATAGTGTGCGTTTTCCTCGCAAAGTCCCGGTAATATGCAGCTGTGTGACAATGAGAAAATTCATTTCTTAGGTTGAGAAGACCACATGTACCCCCATAACCAATGGATGTGATGTCACTGGTAGGCCATAGCCCATACACAGGCCAATGCGTCAAGTACAAACAAAAAAGTGAAACAGGGCCAGCGATGTAAGTTTACTATAACTGAGGATTCACTATATCCCAGTACTTTCGTTCCCTATAACCAGAGTCAACTGTATATTGCACAATACAGTGCCAATGTAAGGCGAACAAATGAATCTATAAATACTTAGATGTTGATTGAGAGAAATATTAACCGCTTTGATATTGACATGAAATTTGTGGAAGTTGAATTTCTAAATTAGTGTTTCTGAACATGAAAAAGCAAATCACATTTTGCAATTGATAAACTGAAAATATTTCATACCTAATTTAGATAGAGATAAAAGTGATGTGTTTACTGCTAATGATAGTTCAATAGGTAACTCAGGAGGAACAACTGACGTAAGGATCAGAGCACAAGCTAAGAAAAGTTTGTAACGGTTCCTTGTTGGATCTTCTGTGCCTGCAAACGAACAAAAGTGTTAATATTCTGGGCAAATAGGACTGCAAAACGATATATATTACTTAATTTGAAATTACAATAATGGCAGTGAAAAAAAAAATAATATGAGCTGTTTCAATACACACTGTTGCACCATGTTCCACATTATGAATTAATTTAAAATTATGATTTACATATTCACCTTTTATCCAAACATAACTTGCTGCAGCAATGGCAAAAACAAGGAGGAAGAGAATAAAGCCAAAGGTTTCCAAATTATTAGCAGTAACTCTTTTCACTCCAAAAAGAATAGTGCGAAGTAGTTTTCCTTGAGAGGTATTGAAACCGGTTCGTAAAACATAAGCAACACAACCATTATCTTGAGCTGCAAAAACAAAAATCCTTCTTTATACTCTTACTGAAGATGATACAAAACAATTGAAAACATGTTTACTGTACTCACCACGAAGTCCAGCAGATGATTTACTGGGTGGAGTGTGTTGCACAACTTTGGTACCACCAAACAACACATGAAGTTTACCATCAGATTCCATTTCCAGAACGCGAGTTGGCTCCAGGTTTTCAATGGGTTCTTTCATTTGGGGAACGGATTCACCTTCATTGAAGTAAAAACACATTAGTAGAAAAATAAAACATTGATCCATAATAACACTCAAGAAGGAATACCTACCTGTCAACATGCTTTCATCAACAATGCATGGTCCACGCAAAAGTAACAAGTCACAAGGGACATAATTATCATTCTGCGACCTTGCAATGGAGACTATATCACCAGGAACCAATTGATCAGTGTAAACAGGTCGCCATCTTCGATTTCGATAAACCTGTACCATAAAAACTATAAATGTATGCTCAGCTTCATAAAAGAAAATTGTTGTAAACACCATTTTTCTTCAATGAAAATCAGACAGTCACCTGAATGTTGTATGGTTTATTGCCCATTTTACGAATCTCTGCCATATTACGCAACTGTTGCTGAACAAGGGTGCATTCAAATAGAATGAGCATGACTAGTGTAAATAGAGAATAAAACCAATATTTATCCAAACACCATAGAGCCACACAAAATACTTGGAATACAAAAAAAGGAGCAGTAGCTCGTTCTTTGAAGAGTTCCATGAATTCTGGAACCACCATTTCCAACCTGTTACATATAATTTAATAGAATTAATTGACAAATAATCAAAACAAATTAAAACCCAACATTTATATTACTAATTTTTTTCAAATAAATATAGCAATAATAGACAATTTACTTATTTCTTCCATATCTCATGTCGGCATTAGTAACATCCTGGTCCTCTTGATATCCTTTCCATTCCATATACTCTCCAAATGTTGAGTCCACTGGAAACTGCACTCCGTTAAATCTTCTCTTGTCATCATCCCAAACATATTTTGTTTTTTGAAACATGAACCAAATACTGATAGATTTTGTGATTTCATCCTAAGAAAAAATTGTTATGTTTTAATTTTATTATTAATGTATCTACAATTTTGATAAATAAACAACAGCAAACTTACCCTAGTGTGATGAACAGAAACAAGTTCTGAAGAACCATTATTTGCTGTAGGAATAACTTTAGCGACTTGTGCTTTTATTGGGTCTTTAGTCTGAAAAATAATTATATTGTTGACTAAGGTGGGAAAAGAAACATTACCCATCATAAACCTTGCACACAAAAACGTGTGTAAGCATACATCAGATTTGGTCAAAGAGACAAATAGACGATGATCCACGCCTAAATTTGCCGTATTTTTATAGCAAAATATACTGTCTCTTCGAGTTTGCCACGCATGCACTTCATGCCGGGCATACTGTGTTTAAGTATGACATACGCATGAAAATACACACGGAAATGCAAAATATTCAAGAAAATAATAAAATGCATACTTACGGAACTACACGTTAAAAAACATTTCACGTGAACCGACCAATGGCAACATAAACAGGTCAAAATCTGTAACAATCCGATGACTGCCACTCCTATGAGTCCTGCTTCATAATAATCTTCGACGCCGTATACAAATACCCATCCATAGAACCAGCTTCCATAGAGTAAGAGGAAAGGTAATATATACCCGTGAAACAAGAGATGTCTGCGTACATGAAGACTGACAGACTGAACTAGGTCGTCAATACACGCACCACGCACGGAACCCACCATTATTTCTATTTCTCGACCGCATGATAAAATTGATGACGAGGAAGTAGGGGAATACATGTTAGCCAACCATTGGACTAAATATTCGTATTTACATTCTTTATATTCGACATTGCTGGATAATCAACAAGATGTATTTAGTTGTAAAGAACTTCCTAATTTTTATTCGGTAGATTTAGACTCACGGTTTAAAATATAGGGCCTTTAAGGACTCTGTCCATTCGGTGTAATTTTTCTTAATGTGCATGCTCTTGTAGTTATTTTATTTGAAGAAAGGTAGCGTTGCATTTCGCGATCTAGACAGCACTGCTCTCTTGAGGATAATTTGCAAGCGTAAAACAGTTCCATATTTGATTCACAGAGAGCGTTAATATTCATAATACGCGTCTAGATTTGAAGAGCCGATAAGTTGAGTTTGTGCTATCATAGCTAATAAGTACTACGAGTTTTTAGAATATAGTATATGAGAATTAGCCAAAGCATGTGAGGTATTTACTAACATGAATAAATTACAAATGAAATCAATGCATTAATATTGTATTTTTATTGTATCATAACATTTCAATAATGATGCATACATGGTGGAATATTGACTATAACTCAGATCGTGCAGATGGCCTTGGAATGTTAAGCAGTTATTTCCAGCCATCCCCTTGGAGGAGATATTTTATCCCAAATTGAATCTATCCACCTCCCAGAAAAGTTAGGAAATCACACCCCATGTGGTGAGGTTAATCATGCAGAGGGGAGGTCAATAGCATACAGACCTGGAAAGGTGAAAGCGAAGTTCTGAACCAAAATATAATTGTCCATTTATATTCTTCAAAATATTTCTATGTGAGACCATACACAGACGCTTTGTTTACATTTAAATTAATATAATATCCCGATAACCCATTTTTGCCCGAGGTAATTTCGCCGCACATTGTGCGATGGATAAATAAAAGAGATTTGAAAACTTCGAACACCAAGAGGCATCAATTTACTCGCCATAGAATGTGCAATACCAAAAAGCGACGAAATTCAGCGGGGCAAGGGGGGGGGGCAACTGTCTCCCCCGATGTTGGAATATATATATTATTTATATTATTTACTTTTTTCTGTATTTTAAGAAAAAATCCGATTCAGTATAATTGTTATATTACATGTTATATTTGAGTAACTGCGAGTGTATGTGAGTGCATGTGTGTGAATTTGTCACCCACGATTTGACCATTTCTTGTGCAGCAATAGAAACGTATGGGGTGTTATTCGATACGTCTCGGTCTCCTGGTGGGGAACTGTTAATGTGTTTTGGAATTTGACCAGAAGATTCTAAGAAATTTCAAAAACATGTTTTGTAATCTTGGTTCTGTCATCTTAGTGAGTGTGCCGGGAATTAAACCATCGCCACCCAAATAGATATATGTAGAGTATATTGAATGCGATAAGTGAATCGCCGCGCGTCAGATTTCATTTAATTTTCATCCGCATTAACGTATTTAACGAGTAACGGGACTTGTCGAACTTGAACTTACTCTCGACTGCTCACATTTACATTCGTAAGCGAGCAAATATCGATTTTTAAATCAATGTAACAACTTATTCTTATTAAAACGTAACTAACACCTTATTCACATAAACATACAAAACAGTCGCCTTTTAATTTGTATATAGATTTGCCTACTAAATCGATAAATAGAGCAATTGCAGAAGTAGAAGTGAACACAACTAGACTGACTGTGGAATCTTAATCTCTTCAAAAATTAGGAACTGAAGAATGGTACGTAGTTATGGAAGGTGTTGCGACAGAGTGGTAGGAACTAATTGAGAATGATCTTATTAGAGAATAACGCTGGAGAGCAGAGTATAGATAATTTTTTTAGTGCATTTTAGCAAAAAACGTAAAATATAGAGCCTTACTAAATTCTAACCACTTAGCATCATTCGTACATGCAAGTATTTTCACGACGTTTATAATTTTGAAATTGCAATATTACCAGTTCATATCCTCTATGGTGGTAACATAGAAGGTCATTGAGAGATGGACATTTTTGAACTGGAGTAAAACATTAGCTACTACAATTCATTGGTATTTCCAGTGCTAGAGACTGTAAGAACTTACTTGAATAAAGCTATGAATGACATAAATTTGCAACACGTGAAAGTACTTTTAAAACAGAACACTGCGTCTGCGCTAATGTATGAGGAGGAAAGCTGAAATGTAGGTCTCATGTTAGTTGAACTCCCAGATTTAATAAAAATAGCAATAGTGCAATTTTTTTGGATGTCATCCCTCAACTATAATATTGAAGAGAGATATTTTTTCCTCAATTAAATCTGTTCTTTAAAGACAGATCTTGAAACAAAGCAGTATTTAATTTTTATAAAATAGTTGGTTCGTGTCATTTAGCGCGAAATGTAGACAATTTACATTTTTAAATGATAAATTTAAAATTTTTTTCTCAAATTTCGTTCCATTTGTTCTTTAAGTTTTCTCCTCGTATGTAGTATGTAATCTGAGATGTACATTTTTGTTCATGTTTCATGACCGAAAAATTTTAGACACAATGTTCGTTTTTAAAACTTCTTCCTATGCGATTCTCAAAATAATCAGTAAACTAAAAATAAACATTCGGTCTATTTATATAAATTTCCGGAATTTTTGTTAAAGAATTGTGCGCCTACTATTATACACCTGTAAACTGATATATTTAATGTATCCTTATGCACTGAAACTTTTCCAGATAATTTTAAAACAGCTAAGATTAAGCTGCTCTTCAAAAAAGACAACAAAAAAGAAAATTCAAAATTATCCTCCAATTTATCTTCTGTCAGTTTTTCCAAAAATGTTAGAGATACTTTTTTACGTACGAATGAAAACCTTTATCAGTAAACACAACGCATTTTCAGATTCTCAATATGGATTTCGAAAATCAAATTCTACAGAGACAGCCATATTTTCCTTTCTTAAAGGTGTTGCCTAATCGATGGGTCAAAACGAAGCACTTATTGGAATAGTTTTATGTATTTCAAAAGCTTTTGACGTTATTGATCGTAGCATTGTACTTTCAAAATGTACGTCGTGTAGAACCCTTGTCATTGCTCTAGATAGGTTATGTTCGTACTTTAAACAACGATCTCAGAGAGTAGAAATACCTTACTGGAATGACCCAACTTCATTATCGGTGCACGTCTTTTAGAATTCAGTGAGAAATGTAGTTATTCATATTATGGCTCTCGGCTGGAAGTGTTATTCCTTCACGAAGGGTATGATGATTTCTTTGTATATTCAAAATTGAGCTAGTATGTGGCTAAAGGTAGGGATCCCAGAATTACGAAAACGTGCACAAAATTCACTTCTCCCCGTAGCACGTCACACACAGTTTTTACTTTCCCGAATACATACGTACAGTGGCGGTCAATTAAATAGATCCACTGGTAGGGCCTCCTATGATAACAAAAATTAACCATGATAATTTTCCCATGCGAATGTCTCGGCCCGTGTTTATAATCAATAACCCTAACCTAACTTCTCAGCACAAGACAGCAGTCAGTGAACAACGTTTCGGGCTATGCAGAGAATCAAGGATCGAATGTAGGAATGTCGTCATTGATAATAATAGAGCCACTGTTTATAATATAATAGTAGTTTTTGAATTATTTCAATTCTATTTTAATTGTTTATGATTGCATGATGTACACGTGATTTTATTACCTTGGGTATTTTATTGAACATTCTAGATGGGTGGTGCAATACCCACCACTCAGACTTAACGACAGGTGATTTAGCACGTAGAAAAAATGATTCAATGAACAAAATTACGAAAGAACTGCGAGTTTCGCGAAAGCGAGTCCGGTATGCAATTCACAAAATGTAAATCGACGAAGTAGATTCCTGAAAATACAGGCAGACTGCGAAGAACGTCCCCATGAATGGATGGACGAGTCGACCCCTAAATTTGGAAGGACCCGTTCCTGTCTGCACCTTGGTTGAAAGAAACAAATCTCAGGTTTATGGTGTTGAGTTATCTACTTCAAAAAAGTGTCAAAACGAAATATTGGGATGCGACTAGCTTTTGTAGAAAGAAGGAAAAGGAGGATTCTTGGTGGTACAATGTGCTCAGGTCGGAAGAATCCAAGAATAATAGGTTTTCCTCTGATGGGAAGGAATACGTTCGACGACCTCCAAACTTGGAAAACAATCTCTAGTACTCGTGCACATTAAAAACCGTGAAACATGGATGTGGTTGTGTTTTGGTGTGGGTATGTTTATCGTGGTATGCTGTTTCGTATACAAGAAATTATTAATTCAGAGATATACAAAGAAATATTATGTCAACTATGATTCCTTATGTTCGTGAAGAAATGTCTTTCGTCTGGAAGTGTTAGCAAGACGACCCAATACATACGTACCATTAGTAGTATTTTTCCAAATTGAAGAAACCCCTGTCAATCTGTCCTGAGTCGAAGCTCTGTAATTAAAAAAATCATTAATTTTTGGGGATACTTTACACGAAGCCCGCTGGATGTTTTCATAAGTTTCTCAAAAACGGCTTCAAATGTTTTCTCTCAATTTCTTGTTAGTATAGAATAAATTACACTTATAAATGTGGCATAGATCCGATTTTCACGTTTAACTCTGAATTTTCGGAAATTCCAAAAGTTTGAATTATTTCAGGCGTTTTCTTGTAACCAAAAAATTTGATATTTTTTCTTCAAATAAAATTTGTTGTTCATAATCAGTTCTTTCAATTAGGTTACGTACCTTTTATTTGAAAATTCTAGTAGTTTTCGCGCAATATTGCGAGCAATATGAAAAATTTTTAAAAAATTCCAAAAACAAGATTTTCTCAAAAACGACACTAAATTGTTTCCTTAATACTTTTGGAAGAGATAGTCCTAAATGTACTCTATATGATGACTTAAATGCCATATTGCTCTATTAAAAAAATACAAAAATGTAATTTTTTGACTTGTCTCTCATGTCAATATTTTTACTAGCGGCAATATGTTCACAATGTTATATTTATGAGTACATATGATTTAAATAATGTCATATAACGTTTCTCGAAATCTACCGAAAACTACCTAAGTACCGCATGCTATTAACATCGAGATCATCAACGATTTTCATGGAATTAATGAGCATATTCAGTTAATTAAACGAAAAAATATTTGATAATGAAATGTTCACGTTCTGATCTTGCTTTTTTATTTTTGTTTGTTTTACGCTGTA